GAGAACAGACATTATAAATTGTATTACCATCTTTCTCTGTTCCAGTTTTCAAGTCTTCACCAGGAGGCAACGAAAGTGTTGATTCTGAAGCACTGTCTCTTTTTGATGTCATTAATCCTGGAACACAGAAACAAAAGAATTTTGTTTAACATTAAACATAAAAGTATATTCACTGTTAAAGTAAAGCCATCCCTCATTTTCTAAATCTTGTCCACTTCTGAAAACTTGTTGGCTAATAAATTCAGACAGCAGGGGCCAATATTTCACTATTTAAAGAAGAAAGAAAAGAATGCATTCCCAGCCCATCTGAAAACCCCGGTTTCTCCAAATATCACTAAAGTGTTTCTTAAACCTTAAAATCCACTAAGAAATTCTAAATAATAGAAAGCATTTAAAACACAGCTCCCTAACTGTCTGATACTTACTGCACTCGTTAGTAAAATGAGGTAAAGAAACCTCATCCAGTTACGACCTGCAAACAACTTATGATTTCACTGGTGTACGCAGGCAAATTCCCTGTCACAGACTGTCTATTTTAGATAGTGAATTTGGGGTAAAATTTTCTGGAAATCATTTGAACAATTATTTATGTAAGTGTGAGTCAGACAGTAAGAAGCTCTGTACTGTGCCACTGGTATTCTGAAAATGACTACCCCGAATCTCACCACACCCAACTCCCATTAAAAAAACAAACTCATTTTGAAAAAGAAAGAGCTTGTGAATAATACTCTACCAAGATTTCTATTTCAATTCTACAGAACCAAGTTACTGAAGTAAGAAACCTAACAGGCTGCACCCAGTTTTAAATTTCATCAAGCATCAGTTCCAACTCCACTCACTTATGAAGCATTCTTGGTGAAAAACTGAGCTTGGCACTCTGAGCATCACATACACACACACACACACACACACACACACAAGCCATGGTCCTAGCCTTAAAGGAAGACCTTTTCAGTTTGGTGTGGTAGAAAGGCATGACACAATAATTGTGGCTACAAAGACAAATTAATGCATCAACAGGATCATGTTCCGATGTGGGTCTTGATAGGTCAGATTTCTTCCAGAGAATACTGGAGGTATAATCAGAAAAAACTGAGGGCAGGCATTACAGATGGACAAAAAGAAAAACACAAAGACAGGGTCAGAGAAGGATGAGCAGCTTGGCTGGAATAAAGTGCACTCTGGGGACGTGGGAGAAGCAGACAGGGTAGACAGGTCATGGTAACATCTTAGAGGGTGACAGTGCCGGCCAAGGACCTGGAGCTCTTCAATAAGAAACAAGCCTCTGATGGGCTTTGAGGAGCAGGACTCGGATGAACAGTCACAGGTGAGTAACATGACCCCGACAGCAAAGTGCAGAAGGAAAGAAAAAAGCAGAGGAGGAGAGACTGGAAGCAGAGGCCAGGGGTGAGGGCCAGAGCCACAACAGCGGAAACTGGAGGGAGGGGTGGGCAAGGGAGACTTTGTGAAGGCAACCCACAGAGCATATTTCTTATTTTCAGTTATGTTTTTCAGTTCTAAAATATCCATTTGGTTCTTTCCTTTTATTTGAATTTTTTGAGATAACCAGAGATTCACATGCAGTTGTAAAGAAACGATACCGGGAGATCTCTTGCCCACTTTGGCCAGCTTCCCCCAAAGGTGACACTGTACAAAACCGTAGTATAGTATCACTACCAGGAGACTGACATCGATACAATCCGCCGTTCTTACATCACCTCCATCTTACCTGGACTCACGTGTGTGTGTTCACATGCATCCTTTGGTTCTTTGGTATATCATCATTTCTCTGCTGAAACTTTCCATTTGTCTCAAGTGTTCACCCTTAATTCTTAGAGGGTTCTAACTTGTTCTTTACAATCTTTATCTGGTAAATATCTATATCACCCCAGGGTTGACATCTTTGATTCTTTTTCCTAGTGATACGTTTGAGATTTCCCATATTTTGAGCAATAGTGAATTGCTTCCTGTACATTATGAATATTATTTTAAAGGACTCTGGCTTTTGTTTAAATCCTATAGAGAACGTTGATTGTTTTGTTTTGTTCTGCTTTAGCAGGCATTCGACAGTTAGCAGGCAGTTAGGTTCAGGCTGGAAGTTCCTACCACTTTCTGTGACTGTGGTTCCAACAGTCAGTTGCTGAAGCCTATCTGGAGTCTGTCTCATGTGCTGTGCCTCCCAGTAGTTAATCTGAGCCCCGGGCAGTGGTCTGTGCAGGAGGCCACAGCCTGTGGTCAGAGCCCTGCACACATCACTTGGGAGTAAGCCCCGTCCACACCCACCACTCCGAGACCACTGTCTTGAGCTCCCTCTTCTCCACTGTCTCTGACACTTTCTTGCTCCCAGGAGGAAATACCTACCCCTTCCTGATATTCTGGGTAGAATGCCCAGGCTTTAAGCTCCCTGCTCTGTCATATAATCTTCTGAGATAGACTCCGCTTGTGGGGCCAAACAGTGTGAAAAAAGAAGAAAAACTAATAAGGATTCCACCCATGTTCTTGGGACCACAGTTTCTCTGACCA